ACACGCAGACACACACGCCAGACACGCTGTCTCTTGCATCTGGCTATTAGGACAAATCACAACATTACCCCAAAATTCCTCGTACCCTTACTATACAATACAATATTCTTTCAACCGAACACCAAATTTAACCGTCCATACTCACATATACCTAAATTACAGTTGTGAACAAAAATCCATATGACACCACTTAATAATACACATCAACACAGATACACAGGACTCAGTGGGATCACAGCCCCTTGTAAAATCATCACGGCCACTTTTGATATAATCTCCACATGCCTTGCACCCGACCTTTCAAATCTAACCCCATGATCTAAACTGTTCATTGCTAATATTACCGGAGAAACAACAACAACAACACACGCTCTCGCCTTGCCAATACCCCACAACACAACATCATTGAATACCAAAATACCGCGAATAATACAATAAGGGAGTCAATATGAAGCGTAGAAAACAAGTAACCGATAAATGACCAACAATAAAATCAGAACTCAACACATTTGTGCATGAACATTCTGATTATCGCTGCTAATGTAATTCTCAACATCTGCGTAATTTTTATGGCTGTAACTACTGGCAATGCGTGTTACAACACGCATTACCGAAACCACGTTTCAAGCACCGATGTGCTTCCCTTATTCAGAAGCCTGATTATGCAAATATCCTCATAAATCCAGGCACACAGCCCAGGCACACAGGGCCTTAATAGCACAGCACCGAGGTGGAGCTAACAACCTTTGCTCACTTCTCACACACTCGTATACAGTCGTACAATCCACAAATACGCAAAAAAGCTGATTTCATATTGTCCGAGGACATGTTTTAGCGCCTATATCAACACCTGATTGAAAACATGTGTTCAGCGTCTGACAAATAGTGTGAACGTACGCGTCACGGTTAGCCAAATTCAAGAAACTGATTTCCTACACACACACACACAAACGCGTCCACAAGCAATATATATCATGCAACAAAATACGCGTTCAATGCAAACAACACATAAACCTACAGTACATAGACACATACATACATACAATGTCAGTAATGAAGCCGTGCGACCAAACAATTAACTGGTGTCTGGCGTTCCTTGATTCAACAGTTTATCTCGCCTCCGCAAGTATATACCCATCGACATAAATAACATGCACTTTTGAAGCTAAAACACTATGCAGGATAAAAAAAAACGTATGGTGGCATGGCGTGGCCATGGTGTATACAGGAAAAACCCTCGAGTATTAACGTTTAAACTAACGTTTTCACTTAATTACGAAAGAAATGCCGACACACAGATTTGATTCACATACACATTTTAAGTATTTCCGTTTCCCGCAAAGTAGCATTATATACTGCCGTGTTCTTACTAAATATACTCTGCCGTATCAGCGTCACATCTTTCCCCACCATTATCATTGTGCTTGCCATTACCGCCATCGCCACCCCTCCATAGTATACACTATATACACCTGTGCGTAACTAATATATATCTACGGTTATCCTACTGTGGCCTCTTTATCTTACGGTTACTTACGTACAGTTATCTTAGGGTGCTTACACTTTAGCGTACGATATTCGCGCTGTTCCCTGATCACCGTATGGTGAAGGATTCCCAGCGTATAGGCGTGTGACAAAAATCCCGGGAGCTCCTTCTCTGCGGACCGGTATACGCGACGTTGCTCTTTTACAGAGACATAACTTTAGCCGCGTATTCTAACCTCGTTTCCACTGCGGTTAAACGGGGTGGGAACGCACTGATACGTTCGCGTAGGGCTCTCTATCGCCCTTTATCACACGCGTCCGCCACGGTATCGTATCCTGCCGTGTAAGGCTCTCGTAGACTCCTATCCCGTCATAACGGCTCTATTGTGGCACAAACTGTCCAGGCAATATCTGTCAGTATACTTACTCAGGCGACAGCGTAACGCGCTTAGCCCAAGCGGAACAACTCTTACTAGGAAAACTGCAGCACACTACCACGGCGTATATATCTTCTCTTTCTTTCTTCCAGCTTCGTCTCTGGCTTTCGGTGCTCTGTCTGCTCCTGCAATCTCGGCATTTCAATGCTTGTCCGTCCGTATCCCCTATCTCTGCTCTTCGTTCTGTCTCTCTTGCTTCTCTGCCGCTCTCCTTTTATTGCTCTCTCAATCTGCTTCTTCTCCAGTTTCTTCCGTCGATTGCTGGTCGTGAATCTTTCGTAGATCTTGCGTTATGTCCGCAAACGCCATGTCGAATGTGAAAATGGTCATATATGGACAAATATGGCCAAATATATCATCAAGTCCGCTATAAACTAGTTTCATTCCAGCGTGAGACTCAATAGGATAGGGGATGTAGACATTACTGCCCTCTACAAATCTGTGAGCGTTGAATCTCAATTGTAAACGGTCACTTTTGATAATGCGAGGCAGCATCCATTTTGCAATATGGCGCAAGTATGGCCACATAGTGGACTTGTCATCCTAAAACAGTTAAATCACATTGCTGACCATTGCAATAGTTTGGATATGGACACTCGTTGCTCGTCTCTAACTCTTTTGTTTTAAGTTATTGTGAAAACGGTTATATTTTTATAATGGCGGAGACATTGATTTTGTATTTGCGCAATTGGCAATATGGCCAAATATGACATCGACCCGCTATAAAAGTAGCCTATGCATCACATTCGTTGACCCTGAAATAGTGGGTTAGACACTGGTTTCGTCTTTGTATATGCTTTAGTTTCCATTATAGTACATAAGGGATTTGTTGATAATGTGGTGGCGCGCCATCTTGAAAAATCCTAACCGAAGTCGTAGGTCGGCACATACCTGCAGAATGATTTTGTTCCATCTAAGGAGCCATTGTACCAACTTTTGCGTGCTTAATTGGCACAGCGGCCCCGTGTCAACAAAATTTGGCTTAACACGGACTGATAAACAGGATCCTGTCATTATTAATATTACTACTTACTGTACCGTAACACAGTTTGTCCATATTAGCTGGCTGGTAGTCACTAGTATCAGTACTAGATACTTGTAGTAGTCGCCTGGTACTCTTAGTATTACTAGCTAGTACTCTCTAGTAATTATTTACATGTACTTGAATAATAGAATATTCGATAGTGAGATACAATTCTCGATCTCGCATTGGGGACTCGTGTTAGATACATAATATATATGGTGCCTGTGTAGAATCACGAGTACGAGGCAGCATTGGTTCGATGGGACTCATGTTCTCTGATCCTTGGGCCGTCCGAGTCGGACATCGCGGAACTTTCCACGTGATTCTTACGGAACACTTACAGTTCAACGCTTCCCACTGTCACAGTTTAGGCAGACTTCTGCGGGCACCATGGTTGAAATCTTTAGTTTGATGAGGAGTGTAACTATGGCAGAGATGTACAATAGCAGATAAGAGTGGACAATGAAACTAACTGTAAACTGATTATTCACGAATAGGCGCGAACGCATGTGTAATTGTTTCCTATAATCGGATCTCTAACCTCAGCCAGCTCAACGCTAGCCGATCAGCGCTATATATTGTTACAATGTTGAACAAAAAATCTGCCCCTGTTATTACAGGCAAAGAGAAGGCCGAGGGGGCGCGTAAGTGTCTGACAAGAAAATTGAGGAGCATTCTAGCCAGTCGTCTACCTTAACTGGGTTGCTGCGACTCCTCTGCGAGATGGGCAGAAACTCGCCTCATCAGCGAAAAGCCGGCTTTCACCTCTCTAGAAAGAGCCTGAGTAGCTGGCGTTGGCAGAGGCAGCGTAAATTGGCAATAAGGGGCGGAGATTTGCGCGGCGTTCGCGCGATATCCGGCTGCAGATCGTCTACGGCTGTCATTCTATCGCGTGCCGTTTATTCAACACCTACCGCGCGAAAACCAAGACTAGATCCGATCTTCGTTCAGTTTTGTTAACATTTTAACTCGCCTTCGCTAACACTATTTATTAACTCGTTTGTGTTTATTGGGTTAAAAGTGATATTAATAAGGTGTTCTCAAGTTAGGCAAGAGGTCAGGGAACCAGAATGAACACTCGGGAAGGGCCGTTTCCGGCCATCTGGGGGGTTTGTAAAACCAAAAATTTTCTTGTACGCTCCGCGCCAACCGAATTGGTTTGATTGGGACCCATGCATGTTCTCTATTCTTGAACCCATATGGCCACATTGCGCATGATATACATTGCGCATTGGATTAATTTGAAGATCTGAAAAATGCCTATACGTAGATGTTGGAGGCCTCTTGAGGTGGCTATATATAACACACTACCTGCATCGGCTAAAAAGGCCAACTACCTATCTTTACCCAAGCTAGCTAGTCACACCCCATGGCTAGCTATATCCCTGGACGTTTATTCCTTAACAAATGTCGATCCTTGCGTTATTATCCACGTAACAGTGGGCTACGTAGTCAGGGTTCTCCCCAGGATGAAATTCAAACGGGGGGAAGGGAGGGGGGAAACTAGGGCGGTCCGGGGGGCGTGTTTTTTTACCGTACCACTAATTAATGCGTAAAATCGTCACCACACCATAGACGGTATTTGGGGTTCTTGTATATATAAGATAGCCGAGTCTGTGTACAGTTAGTGTTGGGTGTGGGACAGGTTGACTGTTTGTACTTGTGTATTGTCTGCAGTGCATGCGTGGCACGGTAAAAATACACATGCCGGTTGTCTTGGTCGAATGGGAATTCTTGACGATCGATTCCCTCGCTGGCAAACTTTTATTGTGGTGGAATTTAATCGGGGCGGAGGTATTTTAAACAGGGCGCAACAATTGAAACAGGGGGGAGTTTTCCCAAACGCGCCCCGTTTGCGCAACGTAGGGAGAACCCTGGTAATAAACTATCCAGATCCAGATCCAGATCTCTAACAGCATTTAAATGCTGATCACTGATGAGGTTTTCATCACTCAGTGATGACACCACCATATTACTACACACAAGAGAAGAAATTAAACTATTCATGACACAAACAAGATAATACATATGATACAAATCCTGATATTTTTCAGATGCCAAGCAAATTGAAAGAAGAAAAGGAAGCACTTATCAAAGAAAAGCTAGAGACCCGAAAGCAAAAGAAGAGAGAGAAGAAGAAGCGTATAAAGAATAACAAAAAGGAGAAGCAGAAGGAGGTCAATGTTGAGGTGCGTATCTTAGTAAGTTTTAGATGCAACTATAGCTGTTAAAAGAAATGAAGTACAAATATATTATGATAGTTTGAAACTAGCGCAAGTCTATAGTCAAATACTGATTTATTATTGGACCTCTGTTTTGACAAATGCACGAGTACCGTATATGATCGCGTAATAACCGCTGGCGCCTATAAGTCGCACCTCAATTTGAATCGGGTAACCAAGTATTGCGCCTAGTTCATTTCCCCTCACGGTATGGCGCACTTATAAACCGCAGAGCAAATACAGGGTTGAAATCTGAGGCCAAATTTGCGGTTATTACGTGATCATATACGGTACATCCATATGTCAGTCTCTGGAAATTCTGCTCTATACCATGCAGTTTGTTCCAGAGCATGGCTTTGCAGAATTACTATATATTTTCAGCATAATGTCCCAGAAAATTTGGCAGACACACAGCAAAAAGTGCAATATCCAAACAACAGGGTGCTACAAAAAAAAATTTCCCCACTTGCCCGGTCGGGCAAGTGGGTTATGAAACTGGTTGCCCGAAGGCAAAAGTCACTTCCCCGAAAAACAAAGAAATACATACGATTTTTTCTATTATGAATTTAAATGGTTTCAAGAGCCCGGTTCAAAGGTAGTCACGATACAAGAAACAGCACACAAAACTTGATTCCCTTTATATAGCACCAAACAGGTATAAACACTTTAGTAAAAAAAATATTGCTGAAAGACAAAGGCAATGAAAAGCCTGAAAAGGCCATATATAGCATGTAGTACTATGTCAATACAAACATCACCTCACTCTACTCAACATCACAGCATAAAAAAGAAATGCCAAATGGTACACTTTAGATGAGAGCCATGAGTGCAGGCCTGCATGAGTGCTTTATGCATTACTAGCAGAAAGTATACCCGTAGAACCAGCAAATGTTGTCTTTAAATATAAACTCCATGTAAGTGACACAGATAAAGTTAAATATTTCATGTAACTGAAAAGAAAACACTGCACTGGGTACAACAGAACACTGGCACAGCTACTGGCCACTGACTACTGTGTCAGTACGGTGTACGTCAAAGCAGAGTGAGCAGGGGGAATCTGCAGTAGGGGGGGGGGGGGAATCTGAGACGTAGCACCATCTATTTTTGTTTGAGCCAGAACCATCTCCCAGACGTGGTGATTCTGAATATGCTCATACGGCGGCCCCTACGTATGTGATGTGGATCTGCTGTACGCACTGCCATCTATTGACGAATAGCATTTTTTTGAATTTTTGACTTAATACTTAATACTTAAACTTTTTTAAATTTTGTTCTCAGCCAGAACCATCTCCCAGACGTGGTGATTCTGAATATATCTTCAGTTAGCGCGATTGAGTGACAAATCAGGGCGAAAAGCGAGGACAAACAAACACACACACACACACACACACACACAAGATTAGCCAAATTATAGTATAGATGAGAATGGCAGCTTGAGACTAGTTTTGTTTGTTTGTCGCTACATGGCGATTGCCATCCCTCAACCAACGAGCCACTGCATTAGTTGCATCAAACTGTTGAAGACAACCTAGCTGCCTCTAGCATGCAGAAAAGAAGGAACCAGGAACAATTGGCAACCAGCCAGGGGCGAGGGACTGGCCCAGGGGCCTCCACAACCAGGGGCCACCACAACCACGGACCTCCACATATTTCATTAAAAAAAATTGTAAGGAAAAATGTAGGCTGCCGCACCTGAACGACACGCACGTAGAAATCAAAACCATATTGCGCGCGTTTTACGTCATACATACGCAAGCCATATTGTATGATATATTATATTATAACAAAATATATTCATGCTATGACACAGCTCGCAGTGTTTTAATTTTTTAATTTTTTTAAGTGTCAGTTTATTATCAAAAACCCACCACTCTCACAATAAATTAATAAAATATGTTCAATTTTATTTAGGTCTGGATCACGCAGAGATTAGTGGTGCATGCATGCAATAATAGGCGCGTTCACACACAAGAAAAACCGGGATGCTAATCGCTATGAAATACCGGGATAAATGTGTCGTTGTTCACACAGGCGAATAATCGCGCTAATCGCCGAGCGGGATAATTCTATTAATAGAACTGCGCATGCTCACTGCCGGAATGATGCTCACTGCGCATGCTCGCTGCTCACTCGCTTGGAATGATGGGATAGAAAATACCGGGATTATTTGCGCGAGCGTTCACACACGCAAATAATCGTGCTTATTCCAAAGCGAGCGTTCACACACGAAAATAATCGCGCTTATTCCAAATAATCGTAGTCAAAAGTGCGATTTGGAGCGCGATGCTGATCGCGATTATTAGTGGGTATTATTGTGTTCACACTTGTAATAATCTCGGTATTTCGATCGCGATTGAAAAACCGGGATTTGCATCCCGCTTATTCGCGCCAGTGTGAACGCGCCTAATAATAGACTGACAGCGCAGTATACAGTGTATATATCTGTTTTTGTGTACTTCAGCAAAGAAAATCCTCGTTCACAGGCTGCAGTAGAGGGGCAAACATTTGATGTAGCTGATCACGTAACGACAATGCCTGGCCTGGGGGCCGGGTTTACATGTTGCTGTTTGCATATTAATATTGCGTTAGATACAATAATGTAACCCAAACCCAAGGGGATATATAGTTATAGATAACTGTATGCACTGATTGTTCCATTCGCATTGTGTTTTTTTTTCATTGAAATCTCGTCGCAGCAACGCAGCTTCTGTGCAAAACAATGCAAGGGACAGGTGGAAACAGAAAAATATCATTAGTCTACTGTCTAGACATTCAATAAAAAAACTTGTTGCCCGAATGGGCCAGTGCAATTTCAAGCTACTTGCCCGGGGGCATATTTTGGTTGCCCCAGGCCATCGGGCAAGCGGGTTTGTCGCGCCCTGCAAACAATTATAATCAACAGTGGGTGTTTTACATAGCCAGCATGTAATGCACTAACTGCTGATATTGGCATATAGAGTGGTGAGCTGCTGTATTGATTGTTGTGTGGGCAGGCACCCAATTGTTTCATGTCTTCATTAACTTTCATGACTTTCTCATCATCCACCCCTGTAACGAAAATATTTCTTTATTTATCCAGGCTGATAACAGGAAGCAGGATCTTTTACTCATCAACAAGCAAGAAGACAAAGTGATTCGGCAGCTCGAAAAAAGTCTAAAGATGAAGCGGAAGAAGCTGCCAGCATCATTTATTAACGATGGCCTTGATTGTATCCTTAGATAAAGTAATTATTATATGGTATGCCAGTCCTAAAAATTAACACTTGCCTTTTTTGCCCATGTATTTGTCAATAAAAATAATGTTGGGCCCCAGAATTTCATCCGAAGATTGCCCAGACTGCGAGAGAGTTACACTTTTTAAGCACTAGCATGAAAACTACTTCAATCTAAACTTAAAACTATTAGGACCTGCTAGTTCTTTCATCAAAATATTTTTGGGCAATGTTTTGCTCAACTTTTTGAGCAAGACTTCATCACTAAATGATGTAATAGAAAATCTGCTCCTTCATGTATGACTAGGGATTATATCGTGAATTATAATTTATATATATGCATCCAAAGTAAGTTCAAGATACTCATGATGTCAGATTGATGTATTACTGATTAATTTCTTGACTGATGGGGTACAGATCTGCTAGATTTGTGTGACCCAGACAAAAGTAAAAAAGTTGTTGTTGGTGATTCTGACAGTGAGTCTGATCTTGTGAATTGGCTTGAGAGCAAGAAAAATAAAGGTAGGTCTATAATGTTAAAAAATTAGTGATGATAATTCATGCACATATGAGATACAAAAATTGCTTAGCTCTCTCAGGTTTTCACAAATACATGAGCATACATATATATGTATCACTATATAAATAGTGTCTTCTTCAGCAAATTCGTGTAGATAATGTGCATCCATTATCAGAGTGCACTCCAGTTATAGTCTTTCAAGTAAACAATAGAAAATCAATTCTGCATTTCTGCACATGTCTATTTCAAACAAGTAAGGGCACCTCGCTATGCTAAGATGTGTATGAATTCTTATTTGTTATCTAATATTGCATGTTTTGCTGTTGGTTTGCAGGCAAGCTGGGTGACGCATATTCAGATGAGGCAGATTCTGGAAGTGAGGCGTCAGGAGAGAAGTCTAACGCGCACCAGGAATTGGTGTCCAATAAACAAAGTCGTCGCGTTAAACTCAACAAACAGGATGTACAGACAGATCACAACACAGAGAAAGAAACGAAAAAGCGATTATGTGAGGGTGAAGCTAGCCAGCTGCTGCCTCGCAAGAAATTGAAAGCAACAGGAAAGATAAGCGGTGATCTGGAAGACAAAGAGGATAGTGACGGGAGTGAATCTATGGACAGTAAAGACTCTATGGATGGGGATGAATCTATAGACAGGGAAGAGTCTGGGAATGAGGATGAGTCTGTGGATGGGGAAGAGGATTGGGATGGGGATGAATTGTTGGGCAAGAAAGGCACTAGCGACAAAGACTATGACAGTGATGGGGAAGGTTCCCAAAATGAATCCTCTCTCGCTGAAGATTCGGAGGAGGATCGTTCCCCTCGCAACACGAACAATAAGGAGGACTTTGGTGAGAATGATGACTGTGATAGTGACGATGGCGAGACGGCGAATTTTAACCAAAATAAGAGTAAACAAACTAGGACGCAAGCATCAGGCAGCAACAGCTACACTGAAGACATCTACGGCAGACTGCGTGACAAGAAAGGCAACGTTGTAACAGGAGAGCAAGGTTCGTACGTTCCGCCCGGCAAGAGGGCGCTGCTGAGCACGACGGACGACGGCAAACACAAGGCGGCCATCGAGAAGCTGAACAAGCAACTGAAGGGATCGCTGAACCGGCTGAGCGAATCCAACATTGCGGCGACTAGCGCGCAGGTCGCGCAGCTGTACCTGTCACACAGCAAGAACGACATGAACACGACGCTGGTCGCCACCGTGCAGAGCGCCTGCATGGGTCCTGTGCAGACGCCCGAGCGACTAGCAATGGAACACAGCATGCTGGTGTCCGTGCTGCACCACAACGTGGGCAGTGAAGTAGGTACGTTAGTGCAGTCAACATGTTTGCCCCAATTAGTAATTAATTAATTAAATTAGTAATTGCCCCACTAATTAATTAATGATTGACTTGATCAGCACCTGGTCTAGGTGAAATGCTAGTAGCGATACACAAATTGCTAGTGATGCACATAAAATGTGTTGTTATTATAAGTAATCATAACACATGTTATATTATATCTACCACTAGCATTTTATGTATCATTTGCCCACAACAGAATAAAAATAAAATGAAAATCGTCAGTCTTTGTAAAATAGTATTCTGAATAACAAAGCAATGGTAATATTCACAATTCTGTTAAAATTCCTCGAAACATGCATTGATTGAGTAAGTAACAAAATGTTAGGTTTTATGTACTAACATGTTACTGACAGAATTGTGTGTGTTGAGCACCATTGTCTAGAAGAAATTTGTTGACTCGGTTAAGATAATATACAAATTTGATGACAATTTGCAGGTGCCTACTTTCTGCAGATGTTGGCAAAGCGATTTGATGAGTTGTACTCACAGGGCGAGAACTATGGCCAAGGCAAGGAGTGTGACAACGTTCTTACTCTGTTTGCTAACCTCTACAACTTCAAGGTCGTCCACTGTCAGCTGATGTTTGACCTGCTGCGTAAACTCATGGACAGCTTCACAGGGAAGGACATCGAGTTGATACTGCTGCTGCTAAAACGTAATAGTCAAAGATGCACGTGATCGAAACTTTATTGTTTATCTGTCCTACGAAAAAATTACATGTGATCAGTACCCCTATCTGTAACCCTAGACTACAATTTTTAGCTCATCTGACATAGTCAGATGCAGCTTGTAGAATCGCATGATCGTCCGTGCGTCCGTGCGTCCGTCCGTCCGTGCGTCCGTGCGTCAACAGTTGGGCACAAATCTTAACCGCTCGACGTACGGTCACGATATTCGGCACATCGGGGGGGATCGTCAAAACGAGTTGGGATGTCGAAGCTGGGGGTCAAAGGTCAAAGGTCAAGAGGTGTAAAAGAAGGGGGAACATTCACTCCTTAACTTAAGGTATAGGGAGGAAATGCAGAATTGCGGCACAAATCTAAACGGCTCGACCTAGGCTCGTGATAGTCGGTGTATAGCATCATGGTAGGAAAAGCCATCACTGTGCCGAAATTGGAGGTCACAAGTCAAAGGTCAGTGGGCACAGGGCAGATTTTAGACATTTTCTGAGGACATGGTCTGACGGAGCGATTGAAAAACTTTTTTGTTTCAGCGGTGACCTAGCATTTTTATGGCTTTATTGAAAGGACCATGAAATGTCCCTTCTGCTGACATGCGAAGAGTAAGTGTCGGATAACCTTTTGACCCTCAAGAGGAGGGTTAAACTTGGATTTGTTGACTGTCTGTTAGAAAGAATTTGACTGCCGGGTTTGCTAGTAGAATCTATACATGCCTGGATGTATGAGGCTACAATGTCACAGTGAAATTTCAAAAGCTAAATTTGGTTAAAGAAGGTGTATGTTCCTTAAATCGTATAATTTCTATGTCATTCTGTACTGTCAGTATGTTACATGTAACGTATGCCATTGCCAGTGGCTGCTGCCAGTGCATGTGTTGGTGCAGTTTTTGCCTGCGTTAATTGGTTACAGGTGGCAGCTCTCTATTGCAGCCTGTAGGCTTGCGTAGGTAAATGGATGAGTGCTTACCTATTCTGGCTTGCAAATAGTTGTTGCTACTACGTATGATGGGAGCTTCCATCTTTAATCTTAAGACTGAAGACACTTAAACGTACGCGCCATCTCGTGGCAACTTTCATAACGATCCCAACGAACATTCCTTTGAGAAGGTTCCTGATACCATCCCTGTGCATTCCACTGTTTCGGCGTGTATGTGAACACATTTGGGACTAACAGGGTTTACTAGAATCCCACCACTCCACCACAGAGTCACCGCAGTAGACGTTAGATGAGCGCTGTCGCTCTGCGGCACTTGTTCATTGGTGCAGATAATGGGAAAATGTCATGAAATCTTTATTGTTGCTTGCATATTAATTTATGCAGTTATCATTTTAATACCGGTATCAAGCATGTTTGAACATCGCATGGGTGATGTATGCTGCTAAATTTCAATGGTGTGTTGATTGCATTCAATTTCACTGTTATTTTCCTGATATTTGTGCTTTTGTGGCGGTAATGTCATCATTAGACTATGGTAGTCTCACTGATTGATGCAAAGCTTTCGGTCTGTAGAAATTGGGTTTGGACTTCGCAAGGATGATCCCTCTGCGCTTAAGGATGTGATAGTTGAGCTTCAAAACAAGGCTACGAATGCAGAGCAATTCCGGGATCAGTAAGTCGCTCATAAATGTCATAAGTATTAGGTAACAAAAATTTGCTCGCCGCAATTTCCAACTGAACTTTGTCTGTAAATGCCTTAATTTCTAGTTGGCATTCAGTTTTGTTGTGGAAATGCAAACAAGAATGTAGCTCACTGGCTATTATTAGTATTTTTCTTGCAGTCCCAGACTGATGCCTATGTGCCCATTATAATAACGATTTTTGAATGACCAGCAATTTAGTTATTGAGCTGGTAATCATGTCTCGATTAAGTTGTACCTAGTCTCTTGATCTACCATCAAAACAAATATTTTAAAAATAAATAGTAAATCCTGAAGCAGCGTTGATGTGTGAAAGCGTAGCCCAACGTGCATTTATGAATTCGCGCATGTAAACATCCCTATCTCAAGACAAAACAGTAAGCAACGGTCCTCTGCATTGTAGGTCTAGGGTGAAGTTCATGCTGGAAGTTATCTTGGCCATTAAGAACAACAACATGCGCAAGATTCCAAACTACGACCGGACGCACCTCGAACACCTAAGGAAGTTACTGCGCCACCTGGTGAGGGGCTCGACAGAATCCGAACTCAGAATCTCGCTTCACGACCTTCTGAATGCGGAAGAAAGAGGACGCTGGTGGGTGGTGGGATCGGCATTGAGAGATCAGCAAGATGCCCAGCCAGGTACACATGTTCAACATTAATGTTAATACATTATACAAGGTTTTACTCATTTTGAGTTCACTTTGAGTTATTGAGTTGGAAAATAATGAAATGCTGAGTAATAGTTGAATTCTGAATATGGTTCATGTAGAATTTTAGATCCAGAACTTCCAACCCGAATTGAGCCCATTACCCACCTTTGTCAAAAAATATTTTTTATTCCACCCAAACTAATATGATATGTTTTGCTGACAGATCTGACATTAATAGGGTATATACCCTAATAAGGGAATCTAAATTGTAAATTATACATTTTTATGTTTGGGTTAATCTTACAATGTCACACTGCCTGCATTTCTGCCACTTATAAATTAGCCTCTTAGTTTTTCTGGTCTCTTTTGGAACCATTGAACAAAAGGCAAATATAGTAATCGTTTAAGTGATTTTGCTATGATGTTAGATGATAAATTTAGTGGTGTATATGATCACTGGATGAGAATTATCATGTAACATATTGCTTAGTTCTGCATCTACATTAGTGTGCTCACCGATATTTAAAACTCCAGAAGTAATGTAATTACCAGATTAACTATTTATTATTCATGATCTATATTGGTTTAATAAAATTTCACGTTTGAATACATTAATATTTTTTATACATTTTAAATTGAATGTTATTTATTCCAAATTTTTGTAAGATGTTCAGAGCAGAATTCTGTTAATTACATCACTCCTGACAAGGGTATCGTGTATGTTACATGGCGGCATTTGATTGCAGTGAGTGAGGAGGCGCCGGTGTCTGTCGTGAGTGAGGCTACGGGCCGGGTGCTGGAGCTAGCACGCCAGCAGCGCATGAACACGGATGTGAGGCGCAACGTCTTCTGCGTCATCATGATGAGCGAGGTGAGTGCCTGTGTATAGGAACATAATCAGAACAAGCATAGCTTTGCGTGCTATTATTTCATTTGAGAGAGCCGCTAAACGTAGCTTTATTCATTTAGGCAAGACAATTAACCATCCCCAGCTTGGATACTGTTGCTAGGTCGATCGAGCTCACCCAGTTTATACGTGTTTTTCATGAATGCAAGGCAAATTGTTGACTTTGCAGCACTTTGCAAGCATTGTCGTTTAGAACGTCCAATCGCAACAATGATTGGCTAGAGCTGTCTGTCAATCACCCTGGGGGATCGGACAATTATAGTGGGTCCATGAGTGCCAGCGGATGCGGGAAATCTTGTAAAGGGACAGAGTTGGGTGCAAGTTTTTAAATGCTCTCTCCATCAGCCTTTTGTGCATTTTGGAATAAAATTGTAAACTATGTAAATGATTGTGGCAAGCATCGCGCGTCATCACGCGACTGCCTCATATGTTGCAGGACTATCTCGATGCATTCGAGAAGCTCCTCCGTCTGGGACTGAAGAACCAACAGGAGAAAGAGATGGTGAACATCGCGATGCATTGCGCCGTCCAGGAGAAGTCCTACAATCCGTTCTACGCGCATCTGCTTCGGAAGCTGTGCGCCCACGACAGGAAGTTCATGGTGCATGAAGTTGACATACGTCTACTATAAGTTGTACCCCAAATGCAGTTATAAATGTTTCCATTCGTCAGCGAATGCACGTTGCGTCCGAATTAGTAATGTAGGTATGAATAAGCCAATATGGGCAAGCATGGCAAGCTCGTAATTTAATTGCATATTAATTTCCAAATGAGTCTTTCACTCGTATGCAATCGTGTGCAATATTGTGTGCAAGTAAAGAGATGAACCTCATTTACGCGCCACACACTGAATACTGTAATGTGTTTTGATCCATACAGATGATGACTCAGTTTTATCTGTGGGACAAGTTCAAAGAGATCGGCAATTTAAGTGAACTGCAGGCAGGCAACTTGGCCAAGACTTTAGTGTTCCTAATTGCCACGAAATCTTTGTCGCTTGCCGTCTTCAAGGTAGGGCACGAACCATCATCCAAAAGTACACCTTATCATAAACTGTTTGATCAAACGTGTGAAGCTTGTGTCGTGGCATTAGTAGCATTGCCATCGGCAAGTATAAGCCATATCGGAAAGTCCAGCTGTGTTATTTAGGTCATAGAAAAAGGGGTATAAAATGGCCGCGGCGCGCTTAGCAAAGTACATGATTAATGTAAACACTCGTGCAATTTTAGTTTTTGCATTAACACAATCATTGCAAAATATCCCAAATGACCGCAATCATATTTGTAAATGTTTCTGTAAACAGAAACGCACCTGAGAATTGAAGTACGATGTTAGTGAAGAGAATTATAGTTCAAAAACCTCAACTAGTACTATCGTAACAATGTTATATATAGGCAACTTATCACCCATCTTATCTGATTTCAATATGGCGGCGGGAACATTCCGATATGGCTTATTATGAAGCGGGTATTGCATAGCCATGTAGATCTTCTGGCAGCGTCTGCTATTGCAGGTCGTTGAGTTTGGTGAACTAGAGAAGCCAATGGTGCACTTCCTTCGTGGCGTGCTGCTCGAGCTGCTGCTGGAGCAGGAGGAGGAGACGACACGTACCGCCTTCCTGCGCCTCGCCTCCGCCGCCACCGCCGCCAAGCTGCGGCCGCTGCGCGAGGGACTCCGCCTCTTCCTGCACCACTTCCTGCTGCGCAACAAGCACCGGTTGCCCGTGGACACGCAGGTGGCGCTAGCGTCACGCGTGGCTGTGGCCGAGGCGGCGCTCGGAGCGGCCGACTCCAAGGTGCTGTTGTAACATGCCGTTCGCCTCGAGGAATGACGTCCGGAAATCCCATGCAACGCTTCAGGAGGTAAACAGAGGTGCGCAGAGTTTGATTTGTTGAGTGTACAAAGAATTCTAGCTGGAGGTGGGGCATTATGTATTTTTTAATAAGTGCAAGTGTGGTAAGCGAGTAGTGTAATTAATGTATTGTTACGTTTATTGTGCTATGAACGTCATGTTCTCTAAAGGAAGGCAGAATAAAAATCCTTTTTAAAGCATATCCATGGACAGTAGTTGCCTCTATGAAACCCATTAAGGATATTTTAGCAAACACGATGAAGAAGTAATTGTAGTATTCGTAAAAAATTTCATTTGTTTGCAATGTGAAACATAGATGTGATTGCTATGTTAGCAAGATCGCTTTTTCCTATACACACGCATGGGCTGCATTTTTTCATCAATACGTCCAAATACAAATGATCATGATAGTGTGAGAATAAATTAAATGAACAATACGTCGTTGTTTAGTAAAAGTAAACAATTTTCTATTTGTTCTGTTCATCAGCCAGTAATTACACGGATTAATGCCATTATCTCAATAAAATTATAAACACGAAGGGCAATTCTATGCAACATGCTAGAGAGCTCCACATAAATGTAACATGAGCAGATAAGGTCTATGTCCTCCTGACCTCTGTTTGACCTGGCTCGTTTAGCTATTTCTGACTAATATATATTATATATAATATATATAAGGTTTATGGTTAGGGTTATGGTAATACCCTCGTCAGACTGGACGGCGACCAGAAAATGTACAAGGTCGCCGGCAAACGCGAACACAACGCGAGAAAAAGTCCCAACAAATTACAAAATTGAAAAAAAGCCGCGACCTGTGCAATCATACCGCGTTCTCACGGCGCCCCCGCCACGACCTCTCCTCGCTTATGGCGTATCACCGGCGTTCCCGCGACGCTCTCCCCACGCTCATGGGGTTCTTACCACGCATCTTCTACGTGTATCGCGACTGCACGGCGACCTCACGGCGTTTCTACCACGTTCTCACGGCGACTATATAAGCTGGTCAGATTTTCGGAAATTTCAACTGTATACTTGTGCGTTTGCTGAGTAGAAACACGATGCCGAAGAAACAAGCTACCATAGGCCGAGGCCGTGGCCGTGGCCGAGACAGATCGGCATGAAACAGTTCGGCAGATCGGATGAGACAGATCCATTAAGTCGCCGTTGCAAATGTTACCATTTTCGCAGCGTCTTTGCCACGCGTGTACTGCGCGTGTACTACGTTCATGGAGATGTTACGACGCTTGTCTCACGACCTTCGCGACCCCACCGCGTTCTCACCGCGTTCCAGGTCAGATTGCCGAACCTTGGCATTTGTTTTGAACATGCTCAAAACAAACGCCGTGACTCAGCGATCATTGGCAACCATGGCGACCACAGCACGATGTCTGGCGTTTCCACCACGCTTATACCACGCTTATGGCGACCTTGGCGCGCTCTGGGCCCATTTTCTGTCGCCGTAGCAGTGCAGTAAGGACGCCACCCCGTCTGACGGTGGTATTAGTCAGAAATAGCTAAACGAGCTAGGTCAAACAGAGGTCAGGGGGACATAGACCCTACGAGCATAACATGGAAGTCGCGTGTTAAGTTTTAATGCACAATGAATCCAAAGAGTGAGAGGAAATAGGAACAGTGTAAAAGGTACAACTGCATATAAGCAGCTGCTGCAGCTGTGTGCACTGTATGTATGTTGATTAAGGCGTTGCATTTATAAAAATTGCTTTATAAAATGGCTAATAGCTAATAATAAGCTGTGAATAGATACCAGATATTAGTGCTGAGATGCATAATCAAAGGCAAATATAAATAAATTTTTCTTTCACTGTTGGATCAGTCCTGTGCTAAAAGCTAGCATAGAGAAGTACCCAAGTGACATATTATTAGCTCATCTGACATAGTCAGATGCAGCTTGTAGAGTCGCCTGAGCGTGCGTCTGTCCGTCCGTCAACAGTTGGGCACAAATCTTAACCGCTCGACGTACGGTCACGATATTCGGGGCGTGGGGGGGAATCCGAAAACGAGTTGGGATGTCGAAGCTGGGGGTCAAAGGTCAAGAGGTGTAAAAGAAGGGGGAACATTCCCTCCTTAACTTAAAGGGACAGTAGCCTCTAGGATTTTACTGCATACAACTGTACTTACTGTATAACAAATTGTCTATACCCACAAGTATTTGTTACCAGATACCTAATTTAATTGTTATAATTAATTACACATCAACGGCTACGAAATTTGAAAGCGGCGCCATGACACCCGCGACGGCTGCCACCCCCGAAAAAGTTGCGTATTTACAATTTATTTTGCACGTTACAGACTGAGGGCTAATCATAAAAGTGCAATTATATTTATACCTAAATGCTATTTAACCGAACGATATTCATTTTAGGGCAAATTTATCCATATTATAACTGAAACTATATGTCGTTTATAATATATTACAATCCTTTTGCTTTTAAATGTATAAATAAGAAACACCCTCGGTCTGTAGCCCTTGGCTGGAAAGTGATTTTGCGCAACTTATCAGATCGTGCGCTTTGAGTGGCGCCACCGTCGTTGTAATCAAACTGTAGTCGTTAGTTTTAAAACATATAAAAAAAATATTTATAATGGTGATTGAACTATGAAACTTTTTATGTAGCGTAATTATAACCTAAATTAGCTGAAAACAACCCCTAGAACCTAGACTAAACTCTCCCTTTAAGGGTATAGGGAGGAAATGCAGAATTGCGGCACAAGTCTAAACGGCTCGATCTAGGCTTGTGATAGTCGGTGTATATCATCATGGTAGGAAAAGCCATCACTGTGCCGAAATTGGAGGTCACAGGTCAATGGTCAATGGGCACAGGCAGATATTAGACATTTTCTGAGGACATGGTCTGACAGAGCAATTGAAAAACTTTTTTGTTTCAGCGGTGACCTACCATTTTTATGGCTTTATTGAAAAGGGACCATGAAATGTACTTTCCGCTGACATGCGAAGAGTAAGTGTCGGATAACCTTTTGACCCTCAAGAGGAGGGTTAAACATGAATTTGTTTACTGTTAGAAAGAATTTGACTGCCGGGTTTGCTAGTAGAATCTATACATGACTGGAAGTATGAGGCTACAATGTCACAGTAAAATTTCAAAAGCTAAATTTGGTTGAAGAAGGTTTATGCTCCTTAATTCGTGTAATTTCTATGGCATTCTGTACTGTCAGTGTGTTACATGTAACGTAGCCACTGCCAGTGCATGTGGTGGTGCTAGTACTGTGTCGTTTTTGCCTGCGTTAATTAGTTACAGGTGGCAGCTCTCTATTTGAGCCTGTAGGCTTGCGTAGGTAAATGGATGAGTGCTTACCTATTCTGTCTTGCAAATAGTTGTTGCTATTACGTACGATGGGAGCTTCCATCTTTAATCTTAACACACTTAAACGTATGCGCCATCTCGTGGCAACTTTCATAACGATCCCAAGGAACATTCCTTCGAGAAGGATCCTGATACCATCCCTGTGCCTTCCACTGTTTCGGTGCGTATGTGAACACATTTCGGACTAACAGGGTTTACTAGAATCCCACCACTCCACCACAGAGTCACCGCAGTAGACGTGAGATGAGCGCTGTCGCTCCGCGGCACTTGTTCATAAATCTCCTGCATCAGGCTATAAAACAACTATAAACCCTACAATGTAGAGGAGTTTCTGACAGTTGTTGCCAGAAACGGGCGGGTATAGGTTTGCACTGCCTTCTGTCATATTAAATACATAAAGTATTCTCAGAATGATTCTCAGAATCCCTGGAGGAGTTTCAAGACACGCAAGCTTAAATATAACATTTGATACTGTACAAAAGTGTAAATTAATATAATATTTTTCTAGGGGAATATCTGCAAAGTAGGTGCTAACCATAACATTAACGTGTTAAAATTGCATCACATGAGAAAGGCATGGAGGATCACAATTAAGTACAGTACACCATAGTCGAACGGTATATAAAATGTTATTGTGTCACATGTAATAGGTATGTGTACTTGTAAAAAAAACACTATTACTGCCATACAAGGAATTCGACAACAATGTCGTGCATGTTCACTTGGATAAAAAACAAACTGCCCCAGGGTGCCATATAGGTTTAGCCTCCATAGAAACTGGACATCAATCAACTTACCAGTAGAGAGATTGCATCACCTGACTACAGCCAAAACTTTGTTCACACAGCTAGTGAAGTCACTATTGAAGTGTAGATATCAGTTTATATTTTCCAACAACCCATTCTACATTCATACCTATAGTTATATGTCTGCCCACAAACGGTACATTTTAACTCTGTCGACCACAGTAAGATATCTTTATCAATTATAACAAGCAACCTTAATTCAGACTCATGTCAACGTAAAGCAAGCTGTATATTCTGGTATCTGCTCTTATATACTCTTATAGTAATAATGGAACATAGTAAAATAAATGATATACGAATTATAAACTAAACATAACAGCGAACTATTTGTACACCTTTCGCAAACAATCCAGCACAGCCCTGCAATGCCACATATTAACAATCATCGGAATTCGTTTCATACTTAATTTTCATATTCGTCAGTTATTACAAAAATATATTCATTCACGCATACAAACTTCACCCTTCCCAACAGGCAAGTTCAATCGTGGCACGTGTTGCCGCAGCTAGTTTGATGTGACATAATCTATGCAAGTATATTACAGAATGCTGTCTTTGCAGCAGCAGCAGTATGGGTCACAACAGTACATGCACGGACTAAAGTTTATGTCAACGTTGACCATGGATTGAATCACACTGAGGTAGAATAAAGTTGTCGTTATTTGTTACGTAATATTATTTAATCCACGTTTAGTAGTCAAAGAATCATTTGTTTCCGGTACATGCTTTTATCAATCCCCTAAGTAAAACATGCAGTCCATTGCGACAACATTATTGCTACACGCTGAATATTATTTGTCACATGTGTGATAGCAAAATGACTTGTACTTTGATCACGGGTAGTATATACTTGGTTTACGTAATATGCCAATACACGCAACCTATTTGATTTAGAAGCAGGTCCCCTGTAGTAGGAAGGACTCGTTTGCTCTGTTATTACACGTGAACACACCTGTGAACACACCAAGTTAATTATATTACCACTGAAGTACCTTAAACCATCTTTGACGTTATTGTATTTTCCTGAAACGGGCTAGATAAATAATACACGAAAATTACTATTGTCAAATAATATAGCATTGCACCACGGACCTACTCAGGGGCGGATCCAGAAGGGGGGCCGAGGGGGCCCGGACCCCACCTTTTTACCACAAAAAAAGGAAACAAAGCTTACACGCGCGTGCACACACACACACACACACACACTTCTCTTATATTGTCTCCATAAAAAAATCTTGTTTAGCGCTAGTTTTTCTGATAAAGATTTACTTATATATATGTAAATTCGTTATAAAAACCTAGAAATGGGCAAAGAGGGGTCCTCAGGCGTCCGGGGACCGGATCTGATAAATTTTTGCATTCTAGACATCAAAATTACTGCTCAGATTCTCTCAGAATGCACCAATTTTTTTTAAAAATCTTGGGGGAAATCCCCCAAAGCATACACCCCCTAAGTGGCCTTTAAAACAGCTTTTTAAAACACCAGAAAAAGTAAGCAGGAAAAAGTGCCCTTTATTTCTTCCTGGACACCCCCTTTTCAAAAATCCTGAATCCACCCCTGCTACTATAGGAGCCATAATCCTCTGATTTGATGAACACTTTTCTATTACTGCTGCACATTCTCGCTTTATTTCAATCAGTGATTGGTTAATTTATTCCACATGCGTGCTGTGGTAAATCTACCAGTATATATATCGCCATATACAACCGAATATTTACCACAGCGCCCCAAACTTAACATGCAACTAAGACTGTGTAGCCAATTATGAAATGTAAAGAATTTGGTATACACTTGCTTAGCTACCACATTGGGCGGAATCGTCTGCTTAAACCTTCAACTCTATAATTCTATATTAACTAGCTTCTGTACATAATTTTACTGTAGTAATTGCACACCTCTTGACACGCTCCATCTGCATACAATATATTCCCATTCAAACGTGGGACGAAAGGCAGACTAGCAGAACCTATTGTTAAATACTAAATTATTAATTAATATACGGCCTATTAGTTATTATGCACACATAAAAAAACTTATTGTAAACGAGAATATTATTGTCAAGTCGAATTAATTAAGTAATAGTCTAGTGTAAATTATGCTCAGATAACATATCTGTTGGTGTGTTCACAATCCGTCTAACATTTTGCTTGTACGAGAAGCATTTGTACTGCTTATGTGGACCAATGTCTAAACCGAACACTGTTACATCATCGTATCATATGCTTACAGTGGCCCTACTGATGCTTCGTCATGACTTGCTGACACATTCAGCATCGTCACTACAGGCTCCAGAGCTGCGTATTCTGGAGGTGGAAGTTCCAGTCCGACATCACCTTTCCCCATCGTCACCATCCAGTTTCCCAACAGCCACCATAGTCTCTCATTTTGCGTACAGCCTCTAGACGGCCACTGTCCTCTCTCATTTCGCATCCGGTTTCACGTCGACCACTTTCGCCTCTCGCTCCATGCTCAGTTCCCCGATGTCCTCTGTCATCTCTCGTTTGGTGTCTGTCTTTCTAATGGCCACAATGCTCTCTCAATTCGTGACGGCCACCGCTGCGTCTCATTCTTCGCATCTGGTTTTTGATAATGTTTTAGAATGTTTCCGACGAGCTGCGAAAGATGACCGAAGATGGCTCTCGATGAAATGACTTACTTGGCGAAACCTGCAAGAAGCCATGTCACTAATCGTTAGCAACCAGTTTCATTACACGCAAGATGTCCGATTTGCACCAGCTTGGCACTGAACTGTCTCGTTACTAATTTACCGCCCACCCCACCTTGGCGAAAATTTCGGGGGATTCCCTGACGCTAAATTTGATCGCTGGCTGCAATGTACTGCCGGTCTGCTTCTTTGTGGGTTGCTTTTAGTTACAGTGTATGCATGAGTAAGCAGGGTTAGGCATACTATAGCTCATAGGGTCTATGTCACCCAGGTTGCTGCCGAAACGTACCCTGGTAACTATTTGATATGGTTAGGGTTACTGTTAGGGTTAGGGAGTAGGCGTAGGCGACTCCCTAGACTCGTTAGTGGAGTAGGCGAGGTACGGTCCGGCATATTAGATAGTATCAGGGTACGTTCCGGTATACCCTGGGGGACATAGACCCTCTTAGCCATACTATAGGTACCATAGGAAGATGGTATAGTTTTGTGGGTTGTTGTTAGCTGTGAACAGGTAGGTAGGTGGTCCAAGGTTATGGAACGATATTAGTGATGATGGTAGGTAGGTAAAGATAGGCTCAAGTTTCATAGCCTTACTGTATGCACATAGTTGCATGGTGTGATGTTAGTTATATGGTAAATATGGAGGTAGATAAGAGGTGGGTATAGGTTGTATATAGCATTACATTAGAGGTATAGTCATGGCTTAGTTAGGCTGCTAGTTGTGTGCGTGGGTGTGTGCGTGCGTGAGTGCGTGCGTGCGTGCGTGCGTGCGTGCGTGCGTGCGTGCGTACGTGCGTGCGTGCGTGCGTGCGTTATATACAGGTAGACTGTGTTGGAGCATGGCCACTGTTTGCACTCGTCACCTGACGTAGACCAGCTATTCCACCGGAGCTCGTTATAGCTTTTATCACGTCATCCTTCGGGGACTTTGGCACCGCTGGCACTTGCTCCTCCTTCCAACTGTTTGAAGCCACCTCTGACCTTTCACGCGGTAACGAGCGATCATTCGCAACGTGTGGCGTCTTTCCGTTGACCACCACGGTAAAGTTACCGCCGCCATCTAGTGGCTTGTCAATGTTTGAACTGCCCGCCACGCTCCCATTGGCTAACATGAACCCGACACCTGCGTCACCATTGGCCACTGCGTTATACCCTGGTGCATTCGCATTCACTACCGTAGCAGAGAGTGTAGAGTTAGAGTCTTTCTAGAAGAAAAGTAGCAGAGAACAAAATAAAGGTGAAGCTGCGTAAAAAAGTCCAACACCAAATTTTTTAAATAGCGAATGAAATAAATTTGAAGGTATATGCTCCCTGCACACCAGTTACTCCCTATACAGCCTGTGAAGGGCCCTGCAAAAAAGGGCTTGTACAAAGCGCAGCTGAGCTAGCTCTACCACTATAACTTCCACCGTTCTACATTTTAATACAAGTGATAAAGCTAGCGCTACTGCTGTGCCAACATTATGTGACATGCGTGCCAAAAGAACAACTAAAACCAGAAGGTGTAAAGATGACGTGATCAATAACTCGTTGCTTGATAACTCTTGAATGAATCCGAGCTCTGTACTCTCCCAGATCTAAGTTTTTGATGTAAAGCCAAACCTCCGTTTTATAGAGGTGGTTTCACTTTAAAACTGTTACTGATCGGGATATACCAAAAGTGTTCTTTATAGGCCAGCGTCTATTACATAAAGGTGACCACTAATTCAGGGTTGACTGTATGCACTTACTTGGGAATCAGATATGTTCAAAAGATGCAAAAATGCTCATGAATGACCAGACCATTGAAATATTTCGCAATTCTGCAACACCCAAGGCCACTTCACAATTCACAAACCGATGCTGCACTACTGAACAACAATGGGACAACATGGAGGCAAACTGAGACAGTGTGTGTTGAGCCCCACCTGTCTCGTTGCTGGTGTTGGAGTCCCTCCTGCCTCGATGATAGACTGCAGCAGGGACTCATGCGGAGTCTTCTCTGGCGGCGGTAAGTGTGCACGATCTTCACCCTGAGCGTGACAGACAACACGAAAACACGATGAGTGCACAGACGTACGTATTTTTTTACACATTTTTTCTTTTTTATCTGTATCATCAGTGATTCATATCCTCAATAAAGAATGATGAAACAAATGATAGAATGAGAAAGAACGACAAGAAGAAGATGATGACGAAGAAGAAGAGCAGCCGTCACGCATACCTTCTTTAAGCCAGTCGATCCGCCCGTGTTTCGGATTGCGATCATCAGCTCCTCTCGTGGCGCCATCTTCGGGCCAAACCTCGGATCGCTCTCGCGCACCTTCCTCTCTGACACAGGCTTCAGCGCTGCGCGCAGCGACTCCTTGCTGATCGGAAAGTAGCCGGGCGAGCTCAAGCTTCTCCGCATATCTGGCGGCGGCGCCGGTGGGGGAGCCGAGTACGGCTTTGGCGAGTAGGCGCTCTTCGCAAACCGGTTCGTCGTCGTCGGCGCGGCGACCCGCACGCTGAAGTCGACGGGAACAGGCGGGGCAGTGGTGGCGCCCCCCTGCTGCGTGTGCGGCGGCTGCTGCTGCTGTATGAGCTGCTGGTTGAGCATCTGTCGCTGCAGCTCGCTGAGCACCAGGAGGCGCTCCTCGGGGATTGCCGCGTTGTGCTGCAGCAGCTGCTGGTTAGCAAGGATCTGCTGCTGCCACGCGCTCGCCTGGCTCTGCAGCGCCGCAAACTGCCGCTCCAGATCGTCGCCAGGGGGCGCCACCGCCGCGTCCCCGCCGATCTTCAGGCTGGTGACGGTCTTGCGCGGTGCGGCGTCGCTCTGCCTGGCGGTCATCCAGGGCGGCTTGTACTCGGCATGTTTCGCCGGCGGGATGTGCACCTTCGGACGGCTGGTGGCGGAGACGGGCTCGCTTGCCGTGTAGGGTCGCGCCGACATCACTTCGGCTGTGGAGTGGCAGCGTGTCTGCACTGCTGGCGCCCGTCTGCTCGTTACCGAGACGCTCGCCTCCGAGAAGTTCTGTGCAGCGCCCGTGACAGAAAACGTCGCTGCAGCGGTGGCGCCACCACTGTGGGTGGGCGCGGCGGGCGTCAGCTCGAACCGTGTCGGATGGTTTCCTGTATCGCGGTCGTTGAATTGACGCTTGCCTGTCTCTTTCTTATCGGATGGCTCGCCAAACCGCAGCGGTGGCGCCACCTGGTAGTTATCAGGCTGCTCGCCAAACCGCAGCGGTGGCGCTACCTTGCGGTCATCGGATGGCTCACCAAACCGCATCGGTAGCGCCACCTTGCGGTCTTTAGATGGCTCGCCAAACCGCAGCGGTGGCGCCACCTGGTAGTTATCGGAAGGCTCGCCAATCCGCAGCTGTGGCGCCTCCTTGCGGTCATCGGAAGGCTTGGTAATCTGCAGCGGTGGCCCCACATGCGGGGCATTGCCGATGGCGAGGACCGTGCGAAATACAGGTCGGTCGCCGGTGGCAACCGGCTCCGTGTGCAGTCCACTGCGCTTCACCGACGCAAAGTCTGTCAGGTTTACAGTGATCTTCTTCTTCGGCCGCTGAGGAAGCGGTTGGTATTGCCAGTCCAGCACGTCGTCTACCGGTGTGGTGTCTGTCGCTCGTGCGGCTACCGATCCTGCGTCTACCGCTCTGCCGTCTACGGACCTGGTCTCAGATGGTCTGGCATTTACCGGCCCTGCATCATTTGTTTGGCTGATATCAGGCTTCGACTCTTGCTGCTGTCGCGCGATGTGAACCTCTTCCTTTTTTATTTGTCGCCGCGCCGCGTATCCCCCGGCGTCTTCTGTCGGCGCGGCCTGCCTCTCGCTTCGCACCGTCGTTGCCACGGTGACAGTCTCCCGGCTCGCGTACGAGCCCTCGGCCGACCTCGATTCCCGCGACATCGGCGCTTGCTTGCCGACGGTGGTGCCCCCCTGTGGCCGCGTGACGTCGTCGCGGATCGGCGTCGCCGTCTCAATGTTCTCGTCTGCCATGATCTGATTGAAGGAGGCGACGATCTGCTTGCGCACGCCATCCTGCTCGCTGCCAGGGGGCGCCGCAAGCAGCAGCGATTCCGAAGTCGCGTCGCGCTTGGAGTCAGCGCTGGCAGGCGGCGATCGCGGCGTGGACACATCGTCGGTCTTCTTGGTCGCCTCGAGCTCGCTGGTGGTGGCGTCGCGCACGATTGCCGACGTCATCGAGTGCATACCCTCGACAAACTCACTCACCTCGAGTTTCGGCGCTGCAACGATCGTGAGAGAGAGCAAGCGATTAGAGATGAAGATATACGTACGTGTTTGAAGAAGAGATTATGTTATAGGGGTTGTAGTTTCACTGGCGAAAAACATTGTTTAAAGCAAAAACAGAGCTAACTGACAAATGAAATGCTCATGCTAATTGGTCAGCTGAGGTTTAAAAAGTAACACGTAATCTGATTGGTCAGAAATGGTCTTTAGATAGCGAATTGCAAAGGGGCTTTCAGCAGGCTGCTCACCGCGTGTGTGTTGTTCCTCTAGTTGGATCTGCTGCTCAGCCTCTGCAATGATGTCTTGGAAAGACTGGTGCATGTCGACTTCGTTGGCAGACGACCTGTTGCTGCTCTCACTGACGACGCGCGCAGACACTGCAAGTGCAAGCAAGCGAGAGTCAGCAACACAGAAGTGCATGTGCGTGGAAACACACACTCACATATTCACGCATGCACGCACGCGAACACAAACACACTCACCTACGCATGCACGCCCGCCCACACGCACGCACTGATATGCACAAAAACACAGACAGACAGACACACACACGGACACACACATACAAACGCACACATACACACGCACGCACCCACACCTACACGTGCACCAGCGTACATGCGTATGCACGCGCTTATCATCACACTCACCTGCGCGTGAACTTAGTACACGCGTACGCACGCACACAAACACACATACAAACTCACTTACACGTGCACCTATGTGAGTATGCACTCACACTCATCCACACACACATCCACGCACGCACGTACACACGTGCGCACTCACTTAGACGAGCATTGAAGTATATACGCATTTGCATATGTTTATGTATAAGTAAATATATGTGTGAGTGCGTGTGCGTGTGCATGTGCATGTGCGCGTGTGCATGTGCATGTGCATGTGCATGTGTATATGTATGTGTATGTCTTTGTGTTTATGTTCGCATGCACTTATCTACACGTGCACTTATGTGAACAGAATTACATGCATAGGAAATCATCTACGCACCCACGCATATATTTCGGCATGCTTTTCTTATGCAAGCGCGTATACATGTGAGCACAATAACAAACGTGAGTGATCACAGTGCACGCACACACGCATTCACACATACGTACATGTATATTGCACACGGACACATCAACAGACAGACAGCTTATAAGTTATAGACGTGAGGAAAAGCAACGCGTGACGTACCATGTAAGCACTCGCAAAACGCACGTTATTTGCACTACAGTTTCACACTAGGTAAGCTATAACAATATTCGTTCATCATCTGATTATGCTCACGAGCCACTGACAAAGCAAACAACTGACCTATCATTCTGCTCAAGCTCAGATCTATGATTATGAGGTCAGTCAAGCCCCGTTTATGCTGTGTTTTTCACTGTTATGCCTTGCATGCAAATTGTCTACGTTGTGGCATGTCTACTTCGTTGCTAAGCATTGTCTTTTGGAACATCGAGAAAAATTTATCGAGATGCCTTGTCAATTACGCCAGGCAGATAGGTCAACCGCAACTCTGTGACGAATTCAGGTGTTAGGGTAAAACGCTACACGGCCAGCCGTGTGTACCTACCCTTCGGGTTATCGGATGTGTTAGCGCTAGCATTAGTATTGTTAGTGCTACTGCCGTAAGTCGTAACGTCGCTGCTGCCGAAATACGTGACGATGCGGGCGCCACCGTCACTCTCCCCGCGGGCGTCGCCGCCCTCCGGCTCGGAGACGAGCGACGAGTCGGTGCAGGTGGGGGAGTGGGAGCTGACGCCGGGGGAGGGGGTGCCGAGAGAGGAAGGTGGGGCCGACAGGGGGTGGTCGGAGACGGGGAAGACGTCAATGGGGGGCGTGTCTGTGGAGATGTAAAGCGATTTCGTGTTGGGGGGAGGAGCCGGGGCTTGCTTCTTTTTACGACCTATGGAGGAAAATCGGTTAGTGTTGAATACTAATGCTACTCAACAGAACGCCAGAGCAAGGGGTTACGGCATAAGCAAATATGTAGATTTTATATGCATGGATAGATATGTATGTATACACGCGGTGTGGGCGTGTGTGTGTGTGCGTGTGCTATCGCACGTGCGTGCGGTTGTGCGTGCATGCGTGTAATCCATAGTTATTCTCATGCTTATTAGAATGAATAACAGGTAGAGGAAATCTGACCTGTAAGTAGATATTGAAATACTAATGCTTATCTAGTTACCAACCACCAATGATGAATTTTATTGTTAAAAAATGTTAAATTGTTCGCTGCCAGACAGATTACTGTACTGATCACTACCATGTATCTATCCAGCAAGAGAATGATTAGCTTCTATTTATGCTGCGAGTTCTAGGGCTTGGCAGAGTGAAAACTCTACAAATGTCACCAGCACGTTGTATGCAAATAATTAATTGGCAGGGATATCACCATCTTATAATACAAGCGGAAGTGCAGGAAACTTGGTCTCTTATTGGTTATATGCTTGTTAGGTACTACTAAGATATTCCTGGTTATTTTATTTTCCTGTCTATTCTACAGCAAGCAAGTGAATACTAGCCATTTTACACACCTCTTCTCATGGGAACAACTTGTTGAGGTTCTGTCTGCTGTTTTGGCGGCTGATGTTTGGCTGTGTCGGAGCTGCCATCTGGTGGTGTCTGTTCTGGCGAGGGCTGCGCAGGCATGAATGGAACTGGCGCTTTCTTCTTCCTGTGATCCTGTGTAGTACTGCAATGCCAAGTTCACACCGTTCAAGTAGCTGCGTGTGTGCGTGCGTGTGTGTGTGCGTGCGTGCGTGTGTGCGCGCGTGTACACCTGTGGGCACATGCTGAATGTTGAGATGTTAGTGTGCGACCGACTGTACGTGATGAGTATGTACTGCATGTGTCCGAGCGTGCATTCGTGTGTATGTGCGTGCGTGTGCATCCAACTCTCTGCGCGTTGTGTATATGTGGGCACGAGTCCTTGATGTTTATTCACAAAATATATCATATAGGCTTACTATGACATGCGTATAAGCAAATACATAACACTAGGGACCTAGTGATGTATTTATGCCATTAGCTTTAATTTTTGGCCCAGTGTCTCAGCCACTTCTGCTAAACTTGTATCATAATTAGGGCTGTAACGATCCAACGAAATCGAATCGGATCGCGATTCTCTTCCTTCAATCCGATTCTCGATATTTTTCCCCGTATTTTCGATTTCACTTCGATACCTCTTTTTTCCTCCAATAGATGGCGGCACTACGCTATATACTGTGGAGTGTTATTCACCAATGTTACTCAGCAGCTGTGCAGTGTATATATACTCTCTAGACTCTCTAGTCTATTTACCATTTAGTATTCATTGGCAATTTCTAATAATTTATTATTGCAAAATAATGAAAAAATAAAAAATAAGATAATATTTCAATATTTTGGGAATCGAATCGAACGAATCGAATCGAGAGGCTAATATCGAGAACCGGATCGAATCGAGAGGCTTGTGTGTCGTTACAGCCCTAATCATAATAGGAGCGACCGTAATCAAACACAATATGTCAATGCTCCACAGCAGGGGAGAAGATTAGTCACCTAACTTCCGCAACACTGGTCTCGTTGGTAAGGCGGGTGTCATAGGGGCTGGCCAGGTTGTCCGGCGAAGCGGACGGAGTCTCGTGGTAGCCGCTAGAATCAGAGCTGTGTCTGGAGTGAGGCATCTTCTCAACGACTTTAGCCTGCCAAGAAAGAAAGATAAACTCGTATTACAAATAATCCCCACTGCAAATCTCACGAAGATAAAAATTAAAGGGTGATATCGATTACATGCTGATTAGAGAGACGAGCCTATATGACGTTTGGAATAGCCTGAAAATAATGGGAGATGCGTTGGACCGTGGAAATACTACCTCCCCGAATATTTTTATTGATGTTTCATTCATGTTTTGTTCAATTTTTGGATTCTTCTTGCCTCCACTCCCACTCGTCTAATCGTACATTTGAAAAGCGATTTTTACACAAAATATGATTCATTGCAGGCATGAGTGTAACTTACTTTATAGTCTTATATATATAAATAAATAAATATATATAGGCCTATATATATTACATACTACTTTACTTTAGTACTCTGAACAGAGAAGGAAGAAGCAAGGGACACGTACTAACTGAGTTTGAGTGGGAGGGGGCGGTGCAGGTGCATGCCGTTTCTTGTGGTGAGTCTTTCCCGCAGGCCGTGTAGCCACTTTTCCTTCGACCTTCTCACCAGCAACGGAGGTGAACGACACATCGTTAGCTATGCCAGGCACCGGTTTTATGGGCGTCTCGCTGTGGCCGTTGTCGGACACCGTCTTCTCTTTATTATTGGCTTCATTTTGCACGGGTCCAGAATGTGTGACCTTGAGCACGGCATCCTTTGGCAATACGGCGACGCCACCTGCTGGCGCAGATGATGCTGGTCGACGGGGTGCCTCTACGTGGTTGTTGTCATGCACCGACTGCAATAGAGGACAACAGGTTGTACAACATTTACGTAGTGGTACCAACAATGATATTGCTATATAGTTGTGCTAGTAGTTAGTGCTATGAGTTGTTTTTGTTGTTGATGGTGGCAGTGTTGTTGTTCAATTATTATTAACGTTTTTATTTCAATGTGTTGTGTTGTGTTGTGTTGTGTTGTGCTGCACCGCATTTCATTGTATTGCACTGCGCCATGTCGTATCGTTATCCAAGTTGCGTGTTTGTGGTTGTTGTTGCTGCTGCGGCGGCTGCTGTGTGTGTATGTGTGTGTGTACCTTATGTGGTTATGTTACACTACAGCTGCAATAAAAGCATGCCACTACTGTCACTTCACATATACCTCATCCAAGGTTAGTACAACGAATCAGTGAGGAATCAAACCAGTAGATTACCTGTGGAGACATTCACACGCAATGATTCTTTATTGTTGACAGCCTAATCAAAATATGCAATTCCAACACCCATCTTCCAGCACTATTGCTAGTTGCACAGTACCTCTACCCATTTACCTATTCGGACACGTGCCCTCTCGGACCTTTTGCGGAGCAAAGGACTACATATTTAGGATTAGTTGTGTAGTAACCTTACAAGATATCAAAAGTAGATAATCCTATCCTATCCTATTATCAAAAGTAGATCCCTATTATCTACTTCTGAAGATATCGAACACACCACTGACTAAGCCGAGACAGTGTATTCTCAACTAAGTAATCAATCTATAGTAACCTACCAGATTCTGTGGGTGTTGCTTGTCCTTTGATTTCTTCCTTCCTATGAAGCCAAGAAAGGATTTTTTGTGCTTCTTCTTCTGGTCCTTTTCACTGCTGGCGGACGTGTGCTGGCCAACACTAGATGGCGCTGCTTGGCGTGGGTACTCGTCAACATTCATCATCTCCGATGCACCTTTTTAAAAGCACAACACCACGACAGGTCAGTGACAGATAGCTAACGAGCGTACATACCGGCCAATAAACACCAATAATGCAATATCGTGGTGCTCGTTTACCTATGTTTTCTTGATATTATCTCCGTCGTTATCAGCATGTTTTAGCACTAGGTCACAATCTATCATATATACGACATACATACAACTACATGCTACACATTACACATTCATACGCATGCGCGCGCACGCACGGACGCACGCACTCACACACACACGCACGCACGTACACACACACGCTTACCTACAACACACACGCACACAAATATATTACATTATAAATGTAACTATTTCCCAAACTTAAATTTTCCTAAAGCATGAATATATAATGTGATTTGTAATTAGGGTTTATCTATCCATAGCACTATGTATTGGGTTCAGTGCGATGCACAGAGTTGTACTATATTGTCTAAACAGAGGCCCGTATTGTAAATGATGAGCGCTTAACTCCACAAGCATTCTTATTCATGCGTGTTCTGTGTTCACACGTAAATAGCATAATGACTAGTGCGTTTCCATAAAGCGCAGTCCAGTCCGCATTCGACTGCCAAGGCTATTCTCGTCCCCTGCTCTCCCTCCGTTCCAACAGAAGAATGCATTTTACATGATCTTATAGCTGCTTAACAACAGGTATTTGAATGATTAGTGGTAACTACTGGTCTTTGCTTGGGAACAGAAGGGAGATAGACAGCCTTGTTGAGAAGATTGTGAGAGAGCAGCGATACATCGGTATTATCACGAATATCACGTATATATACGTGTATAGTATTCATTGGCCTATCCAATGACCCATGATGTGACTTTTTCTATTATATATTCGAAACCGTTTCTCTTATTTCTTTTAATTAAATTTTTTCAAACTAGAATTATTTTATTGAATTCTGCGTGCGTGCCGTGCACCTTAGGTCACTTCCCAGGTCGCGGATATGGACGGGCCGCCACTTCCCCGGCAGCCGATGTAACCTCTCACACAAACACCTCAAAAAACAACTAATGCCATAAACACCGCACTAATCGCACCGCACGAACATAACCATCTTATGAAAACACATCGGCATGCGATTTAAACACACCGGTGGAGATATCAAACGGTGCAAACATTGTGAAAACATGCTGACAGACGACATAAACACCTTACCAGACGTCGCAAACACATCGGCAGACATAACAAACGTTAGCAGACAACATAAATACCGCTCACCGCTGCATGGAGGTCGCGCACGCACGCACACGCTCGCTCGCACACACACACACACACACACGCACGCACGCACGCACGCACGCACGCACGCACGCACGCACGCGCGCACACACACACATGCACACACACACGCACGCACGCGCGCGCACACACACACGCACGCGCGCACGCACACGTGCACGCACGCACGCACGCACGCACGCACGCACGCACACAAACAAACAGACAAACACATACGCACACACCCACACTCAAACAAACACACACACGCACGCGCGCACGCACGCACACACGCACGCACACACACAAACACACACACTCTGTCACATACACGCACGAACCTTTCACTGTCGTGACGACGGTGACCTCGCTTAGTTCATAGTCGGCTAGCGATCGCGCTGGATCGAGGTCCTGTAGCGTGCGCGGGTGCTTCAGCGCCACCTGGCGTTCGTCGAGGTTGCGCTCGCGGCAGACGAGTGTGAGGAGGTCGTACAGCGGCACGTGCGGGCTCAGCCGCAGCACGGTCAGCTGTCCCTGCGGTAGGTTGACCTGCACGCGTTGCGTCACCTGTCGGCAGACGAGAAAAAAGACGACGACGATGAGCAAACCAAACCAAACGATGTCAATCCGGACTGAAAACGACGAATCGATCAAATGCTATAACATTCTTATTCTTTGATAGCCTACTGCAATAGCTGTAATTTGATCACAAACGTTATTAACATCGAATTTGTTCGAAACACATCAAGTAGGCAATCGACTCGTATTATAATCGATAAAATTTAATAAAATCTCGGATCATCAAAATCATTCAAAACGTGGCTGGCTAGCGAACTGCGTAGAGAAATTCATCATAAACAAACGATGTGATATTCGTATAATCGTCGCTCAGTGATCATAAAGGAGTTGAAAATATGGTATTAGAATCCCACCAAGCCGCTTACGGAGACAACAACACATTACAACAAAGAGGATTAGGAATATGTCAGAAAGAAGGACGCAGCAATTCTCGCAAGAAGGCGCTCATAAGCCGCGTCTACACGAAAACCTCGGGTCAGGTGCGCATTTTCTAAAAAAAAATGAAAAAAACCTAAGCTTCATTTTTCGCGTATAGGCGGATAACGCTTGGTTATTTTCCCGTCGTGTGGACGAGCGCTTACGTTCGCAGCCACCGTGGCGTTCTGACTGCATAGCGACGCGGCGTCACACATTCATGAGCAAAAGATCAGCGGCACGATGTAATGCGAACACTGACCCGGTCAAGGTTTGCGACGCGAGTACGCCGCCAAACTTGTTTACAGAGGAATTGCATTCGAAAACATCTTGAATGCTAGAATAATTAGCCCCAATACGACTGATACGTGGAGGAAGCAAGGCAGTAATATAGGCGTGAGTGGAGAACGCGTGCGTAGCTCGTGAAGCTATCTCGCAGAGAGGCTTTATGTTCCGTGTGAATAAATATGAGCTGTCTTTATCTAGGTAATGTTTATTATTTTCCACAAAACAAGTTGATTATATTTTGCTCAGTTAAATAATACAATTGTGCTCGCCTGTGTGTAGCCCAATGAGCTGTTTGAATGGGTAGCAATTCTAATCTCGTGAACATGAACACACGCGCGAACCTTTGCACGTACGTATAAACACACACACGCACGCACGCACGCACGCACCCACGCACACACACACCATGACATACACACATAGAATACAAAATACATCATTACTATCTGCATAAACATGACCTTGCATAAGTAACTTAGCTACAGTTACTGACTGATAACGCTTTTAACTGATGACTGATAAGTTAGTGTCGACAACGCTGGCCGAGAACCCACCATGTTATCACACCCCACCATGCTATCACACCCCACCATGCTATCACACCCCACCATGCTGTCACACCCCACCATGCTATCACACCCCACCATGCTATCACACCCCACCATGCTGTCACACCCCACCATGCTGTCACACCCCACCATGCTGTCACACCCCACCATGCTGTCACACCCCACCATGCTGTCACACCCTACCATGCTTCACACCCACCATGCTGTCACACCCACCATGCTGTCACACCCACCATGCTATCACACCCCACCATGCTGTCACACCCCACCATGCTGTCACACCCCACCATGCTGTCACACCCCACCATGCTGTCACACCCCACCATGCTGTCACACCCCACCATGCTGTCACACATCACCATGCTGTCACACACCACGATGACAGCCACCCCACCATGCTGTCTCACCCCACGATGACAGCCAGCCCACCATGCTGTCTCACACCACGATGACAGCCAGCCCACCATGCTGTCTCACACCACGATGACAGCCAGCCCACCATGCTGTCTCACACCATTATGACAGCCACCCCACCATGCTGTCTCACCCCACGATGACAGCCAGCCCACCATGCTGGCACACACCACGATGACAGCCAGCCCACCATGCTGTCACACACCACGATGACAGCCAGCCCACCATGCTGTCACACATCACCATGCTGTCACACACCACGATGACAGCCACCCCACCATGCTGTCACACACCACGATGACAGCCAGCCCACCATGCTGTCACACATCACGATGACAACCACCCCACCATACTCTCGCACACTAAGTGTCCAGCCATTCATATCCAAATACAAAAGTATATTGTAGAATAACTGTGGATCCAGTCAACAATCACTGCGGGGGAGGGCGAGACATGTGACGATAGCAAGCAGACCCCTCCGCGAACTGCCGCTAGACGGCGCCACGTGAGGATAGAGTATATTATTATACCACTCCTGATATCAATCATGAATGCATCAGACGCTCAACTTGCGCGCGCAGGCGAGTCTGTCGGCAGACATGACGATCCATCAGTTTCTCGTTAGTTATAATTATACTCTTGTTAACACGTCTCAGGTCACACGGCCGTGAGCGGAAATCGACACAAACGTTAGCACCGTTTCACCACCAACATTTAGCGCGCATTCTGTAATGTTGACTCACTCCACTCGCTCTAGTAGTGTGACCAAAATATATCACTAGCCGCGATATATTATCAAGAATAACCGATCAACAGACGGTTTATTATGTTTTCCTGATATTAACGATAACACATATACTGGAGAGCGCATGCGCAAGATAACATTCCTTTATATCTGATTTTATAAATCTCTTCAAATATTACCTATCGGCTAAGCATTCGGCGAATTTAGGCAGATGTTAGATCCTATGTTATGCCAGGAAGGCCAACGATAACTCGGATATAAGCAAGGACAGACATGTAAAACGAATGACTGACAGAAGGAGGTCAGACAGCGGTCATTATATTCGCAGCATAATACATTCACTCGCAAGCTATTTGCACAAAATAATCTAATATAAAATGAGTGTGTTTTAACAGTTTGTCGCCCTGTTTAAATATAAACTCAATTAAAGCTGAAAGAACACGAGCACTATAGCATTTGTTGATCCTTCGCTACTTAACTCAACAAAAGCTACACGCTAAGGTTTTGTGAACATGACTGATATATTGCATAGGAGTAATGTCTTGCCTGTTTGTTCAAATACGAGTTACAGCTATAATTACTAAGTCAGCAACGGCGCCGAGAGCCAAACTAAGTGATTGCTTTAATGTATCACTATATAAATGCGAAATAAAATTATGCAGGAATGAGATCATGCATTATATATGAGGAAACAAATATATGTTACCCATACAACCCAGTATAGCATAAACATGCATACATTTGCACGCACGTACGTACACACTAGTCTTATAGATGCGTGTACCCAAATCCCTCCTGCTACGTGATCCATATCTAGCCAAACTTGTTCGAGGACAATTGTTCCATCCAAAAAAAGCTATAATTCTATGTGTTCTTTCACGCCCCTTCAACGCTTCCGAATCCCATCAAATGAAGATGTCGTGTCAGACACAAATCCGTATCTATAGGACATAATTCCCCTGCTCTTCCTATATATCAGTACGAAACCTTAGTATCAATGCAAGAAGCTATCTATATTTACGTAATGGCAACGAGTTTAAACATTCCGCTTGCAATCGGTGGCCCATATCTGTCGCGAACATTCTTCTTCACGTACAGTCCTACAGTAACAACATAGTTGACCTGCGAGTGAACTCAGGGAGCGGCTTCGCAACCGCGCCAATAGACTGACTTCACAAGTAGTTGATAATCAACCTGACGACAACGAGGGACGTCCGTAAGAAGTCTAACCTCGGCACCCCTAATTATGAGTTGCCATCGTTAGGCCGATGTGTGAACATTACAAATCACATGACACCTTCATCGCATGGATACAAGCGTGGGCGAGAACAAGCAATTATTAGCACACATCTATCAATCGAATAATTTATTATTCTAATTTATTAGCACTTTACTACGCTTTTTGTATTATCTGTGTTTAAATATGTTTTGTTGGTTGAATATACTAGGTAGTTTTTCAAGTAATAGTAAAGTATAATAGCTAAGCAGAAGTTTCGGCGCGTTAGGTGCGATTAGTGAATCGCGACACGATACACACACGAGACCAAGATACACACACATGAGACCACGATACATACACATGAGACCAAGATACACACACATGAGACCACGATACATACACATGAGACCAAGATACACACACATGAGACCACGATACATACACATGAGACCACGATACATACACATGAGACCACGATACATACACATGAGACCACGATACATACACATGAGACCACGATACGCACAGATGAGACCACTATACACACACATGAGACCACGATACACACACATGAGACCACGATACACACACATGCGACCACGATACACAGTCACACATGAGACCACGATACACACACATATGAGACCACGATACACACACATGAGACCACGATACACACACATGAGACGCCTATTTCTCTAGCATCTTGGGCCGCCATAGCTCTAGTAGTACTATAGCCCGTGTAGTTGCCGCAGGCCTCACTATGGACAGACCACAGCTTACCAGAGAGTACCCTACTTACTATACGTGAGCGAACTGAAGCAAAAGACCGCTAATGCCATTTTGCCACACGCCTAGCTCTAGTACTATAGCCGCTTACATTAACTGCCGCTGGGTCCTGTTCTATAGCTCAGCGGCAGTTAATGTAAGCGGCTATAGTACTAGAGCTACCACACGCCCATCTCAGTGCACCAGATAGCTTGCGTATTTGCGTAAATACGCATGAATTTCATACAAATACGCATGTAATTTTCAAAGGTATGCGTATAGATACGCTTGTGTTTTAATAAATACGTACATGAGAAAACAAACAGATCGTATCAGTACGCTAACCTTCCATCCAAAGATGCTTCCATCTACTCCCGTATCGGCTCGACTCTCTCGCTAATAGACTGGTAGCTTGGTCGCGGTGCCCCACTCATTAAGTTTGCTATGGCTACTGTGTGTCAGTACGTGAACCAGTCTATCTACTATCTATCGTGACTGGTTCCTGTGTGTAGTTTATTTTACAAAGCTCTGAAGTTAGAATTGGTGTTGCGACTGGAACGCAGTCTATACT